TCAAAGGCATTGCCTACTACCCTAAATATGCTGAACTATACTGAACTATATCACCCTACCTACACTCACTCCTGCCCGCTGACATATACAAAAATAGTCGCTTAAATATCACTCCGCTGCCTACACGGATATAATTGATCACACGCGAGTAAACAATCAACTCACCACATCTTGCCCCGTGTATGAAATTAATCCCTCCCAAATGTTGTAGCCTTCATCTATAAGACGGATATTTTTAAGTGCTTTGGTCACAGTTGATCGCTCATCCTTAACCGCAACAAGCTCATCCGTAAACGCTTGAATTATGTGGATATTAAAAAACAAGGCAACCATGAAATATATATTAGTACATTTACCAAGGAAGAGAATATAACAAAATAAATTGATTCTGCAGTTTTCACAAACAATAAGAACCTGCTCGTCAAGCTGCACCAACTGGCTGAACCGTACTGTGCACTGCAGCCCTCTACACTAGGGCGTCACCACACGCATTCCGTAGGTTTCTACATGGGCCACATTTCTGGGTGCTACCAGATGTATTTCGTGAATGCTCCGATTACCAAGAATAAGCCTCTCGCGGACGCACACCAGGTCTGAGACACTGCCCTGGTCGCTGTTGTCGTAGAGGGGGTTGTGCTCAACGAAAGCATACCGGTGCGCCAGTTTTTCGCACGATATGAATTGACGCTGCCTTTGTTTCTCAAACACGTGATCCCATCCGGATACGAGGCAATCTACCACGCCGATGTTCGGTTGCATGATAGCTGCAAAGCTGTTTCTTGGCGTTGGGACCCAGTGCTTGTAGAATGGGCGGAATATGAGAGGAAAAACATCAGACTTGGCACACGTCTCATGCACACCAAAATAAATTGCCCGTTCTTCCATGTGGGTTGCGTTGGTGGTGTAGTAACCAATATCAATGAAAGGCCAACCCCAGTCACACCAGCCACACAGTTTGCGGCTACCTTCGACATCCTGCGAGGTAATGTGGGGTTCAATTAATTTTGCGTAGATCTTGTCCCTTAACCCGCCTTGCTTAATTATAATTTCGGGTGTGAGTTCAGCCATCTTTCTCCACAGCACATCTCTGAT